ACTAGTCGGCCATATGCAACCTCTACATATTCTGGTCGCGCAGATTCGAGGTATGCGCCTTCCTGTAGTTTTATATTCATAGATTGAAGTCTAGCCTAGAATGTAGATTGTAGGGGGACTCGTTTCGGCTTTCCAACCGCTCAGCACTGCTACCTTTACAGATATTTTCTACGTGACTCTACATCTTAAATTGTCTCCAGGAAGCGTAGATTTCTGCCAAAGTTTGCCCTTGATTATAATGGCCAGGTCATCTGCATAGCCTATGACCTGGTATCCATCCATCTGGTAAAGATTTTGCCCAGCACTAGTATCCATAGTAGCAGAGAAAAAACACCTTCTTGGGGACACCCTCTGACCGTGGTAGCGGTAGCTGATGCTCCGTTTATTTCGGCAAACTAGCATCGACTCTATCCATTTTACAATTGGGACTTCAACATTCCATTTTTGTAAGGCTCTAGCGATTGATTAATGTGAGGTGTTGTCGAAGTCACCCTCTATGAATGCTGTGAGAGCGATCTCTTTGCACTCGATTGTCCTTTCAATGGGCGTGTTTGGGTTGACGCTCGGTGGAGCGAGCAGAGCGATTAAGGAGGAAAGTGACGGCACAGGGAGTACACCTTAGATAGAACACCGTGTCAAGGCAAATAAAGTCGGTGCAAAAGTACTGGATTGAATACATCTATTTGCGCATGCACGGCGCACGCTCCAGCTGCTCACTCCACAAACTGGGAGCGCTCAAAATATGGCAATCCAAACACAATCGAGCGTTGTCGGAGTTTCAAAAATAACAGAAGAGAGACAAAAGTGCAAGCTCTGAGTGCACCGAGCGTGAACGCAAACGCAGCCAATGTCTTTAACCAGTGTAAAGCACTCTTAGTAGTAGGGCAGTCAGATATCTAAGGAACTTTCGGATTTAGTTGTTTATATTCAAGAAAAAATCATTATTTATCATACAGTGGTTTTAATTTATCGATAAATAAAGTGTTGTCATAACACGTTGAATTGAGACAAAAAAACGTAGTATTGGAGTGTAATTTGATCTTGAATTTGGAGGTTAGTAAACGCATGCGTTGTTCGTTTAACAAAATCGACACATGATCGGTTGTTTTCCTTTTCAAATCTTTTGGAACTCTCATAGTGTCCCAATAGAGTTTTGCATCTGATGTACTAGTCAATTGCTTGCTTCATTGTTTTGAGGAGAAAGGAGGTTATGCTATTGGGACGGTATGATTTTGCTTCGTCCCCAGGTCGACGACCAGTTTTTGGTATGAATATAACATTAGCTTCTTTCCAAGATAATGGTATGTGTCCTAGGACCAGACTTGTTTTGAAAAGTTTTTGTAAGTGGATATTGTCTTTTCCTGGTAAGGCGTTGTGGAATTTCCAAAATGAATAGACCGATTATCGCTATGTTGGATGGTCTGCTGCCAAACTTCTCGGTAAGACTTTGAAATCTTTGAATGATTGGTTGAATTCCAGTTTTTTGATACAACAATTCATTTGATGGATTATGAAGCGGGTTTGTAGGACGTCTGAGTTTTGTAATTTTACGGAGAATAGTTCTTTCTGCAGTTTCTATTATCTGGAAGGCAGGTCCTCTACAAGCACTGAAAATTATTTGTCCGTATTCCAAAATTGGTCTGCATATTGTTGTGTAGATGTGACATGCAGTTTTGATGTTAATACCTCCGTCCTTGTATATTAGGTTTTTAAAATGCTTGCTTCTTGTTATTTTGTCTTTTTCTTCATTGTTGACAGGTGATATTTGAAATTTAATTTATTGTCGAAATGAATACCCAAGTATTTGATATGAGATTGAGGGGTATTTGGTGGTTGAGAATATCTAGTTTTGGTGAAGCTTATAAATTGCGATTTTTCAGGATTTACTTTTAGTTTCCACCTATCTAACCAGACAATCACTCTGTTAAGTGCTATTTGTAGAGATTGAACAGCTTGGGATATATTCTTGTTGTGTGATATAATAATAATAATAATAATAGTAATAATAAATTCGTTTATTTCCAATAAAACATATTTACATGTTGTAGGAAATGTTGATAGGTAATACTATTTCAAGAAAGTTTGTTAATTATACGAATTAAAAAACACTATTGAAGATCAAACAGTTTTGAAGATCATACAATAGCGGTATCGTCTGTAAATTGTATGATATATGGACTTGCAACTGTAAACTGGTTTGTTGGAGGGAAGATGTGACAATAAATATTGTAGAACAATGGCGACAGTGATGATCCCTGTGGTGTTTCCTGCTCATTAGAAAATGGGTATGAAAGGCTTCCGTTTATTTTTACCACATTTGGTCGATTCTCCAGGAACTTCTTAACAAGCCATATCAGCTATCTTGGACATTGTAACTGGTAGAGTTTAAACAGGATACCTCTATGCCAAGCTGTATCAAAAGCCTTTTTAATATCTAAAAACGTCGCCGCACCTCTGAAACCCATAACATTTGCTGACTGTATATTTGATGTTAGAATGGATAGTGGATGAATATTTGAATGCATGCCAGATAACGCCATACATTGCTTGTGTTTGGCTATTAATCATTCGTTTGACACTGGAGTTTTTCCAACTTCTTCAAGGACAAACATTATCAGACTTTTCTTTAAGGGTGGTGATGTCGAGGATCCCTCATAGTATCGCCCTGCTCCCGTCCCTATCCAAAATATTAGAGAAACTGGTTAAATCCAGAATGATCGCGATTTTAAAAGAAACATAATAATTGCCAATTTGGGTTCCGAACTAAATTGAATACATGTGATGAGATTTTTAATTTTCTGGAGTCACTCTTTCTGGGTCTGAATAAAGGTGATGTTGCTGCAGCAGTCTTTTGCGATTTCTCGAAAGCATTCGACTGTGTTATTCGCAAACTATTGCTGGGGAAGCTTTACCATTACGGTTTTAAAGGGGTGGCGCTTGGTTGGCACGAATCAACAACAGGGAGAAGATTGTCAGGTGTCAGGATAAAAACTCAGTGGCTCTTAATAATCCTGACGGAGTGCCCCAAGGTTCAGTTCACTCTTCCTTCTGTACAGAAATGACTTGACTAACGTGAATATTGATGGAAAGTTGACCTTGTTTGCTGATGACACCACTATTTTATGGATTGAACGTGAGCCACAGATCTTGCAAAGTAAAATCCAAAATGATATCATGAAGGTGAAAGAGTGGTGTGATACAAATTGTTTGACATTTAATATAAAAAAACAAATGTAATGTCATTTAAGTGTAGTGTTGATGATGTGGCAATACAGAGTGACACAATTGTTAATAAATCATGTACGAAATTTCTGGGAATTACTATTGACTCGAGAATCAATTACCTTCAAGTTATCGTAGCCTTTTGCCAGCCTAACAGAGTGTGTATCAAACTAAGACCACAATCTAACTCGTACTTTGTTCCAGTCAAAAGTTTCGCCATTATATCAGTTTCCGTCTTCCATGTCTATGATTTGTACATTTAACTTCTTGAAACCAAGGACCTGAATGAACAAAGGAAATAGAATGGCATATGATTGGCTGACTTAGAACTTCAAAATTGCATGAATACTCTTTTCAGGCGTGCCAAATAGACATCACGATTGCTTTAGTTAAAGTACCTCGAAAAAGTGAATGGACTTGCTGATCTTTTCATATAACCCATTGTTTCTGCTAATGAGGACGTTATGTAGGATCTGTGTGATCCACTGTCGAAAACTAATCTTGCTCTATGTGTCTGGCAGTCACTTCTTAGTTTTACTACCAAGGCCTACATAAAAACTTCGGGATAGGTGTGATTTGATGAGCATTGTTCAGCACTTGTTGAAGAACTAAGAGCAGGCATTTCTTTAGAAGAAATTTTTTGATGATATGGATACAGTGTCTTCCTCGGCACTGCGTACAGGTTAATTTCACTCTAAATCTACGAGCAATATGCCCAAACTTCAAATATAAGTGACAGCATCCATTCTGAGTAAGAATTTCATTCTTCTTAGGGATAGGCTATCTTAATGCTATCGCAAGTTCAGGCAACGTATGCATTTTACAGAACATTAACTTCACATGATTTTGTTCAGAAGCTCAACTCTAGTGAATGGTATTTTCTGATCCTCTTGTCCCGTCTTGACCTTTAGTACGTTTTCATCGATCTTAGTTTTTGCCAGCATGATGCGGACTTCATTTTCGACTTATTTTTCAAGGAAATGCATTACCTTATGCAGACGTTCCTTGAGATTCGAGTCATCAGCATAATTAGAGCTTCTTTGCCACTCACTCCATGGGTCTCCAACACACGTAGTTGTGACTCAATCCTATCATAGAATGAAGGAAAAGACAAAAGTTCCCTCACGTAGAATTCAACCAGAAGATCTTGCCGTCCAAAACGTGTTTTTGAACTTCGAACTACTTTTGAATAGTTTTCTGCTGTAGCAGGGTAGCTTTCTTCTAAAACACGAGCACGAAAATTTGGGAAGTATCAAAAATAAAATAAAGGTAAAAGGTTTTCTCCTAAGTTTGTGAGGTATTTTCTTCTAGTAGGTTCGGCGACTTTAAACAAGATATTTTTGTTTGTTAGAAAATTCTTTATCCAAATCAGACTGTAAAACAATATGAGCAATAAAGGCAACCATTTTGAAGGCTCATAAATCATTAAGTTTGCAACTGTGAATTTCAAAATTACTGCTGAAGTTTCAGATAAACGATACAGTGAAAATTACATCAGTAAGAAGTTCAAAATCATTTATTCAAATAATTCCGCTTCACCTCAAACTTTCAAGCAAACACATCCAGAACCAAAAAAACCTTTTGATCCAAAAATCCTTCTGACACATGCAGAGTATAATAACTTTCTAGTAAAAGATCTTTGAATACGAATGATCTACAAGTAAAACTACTACACTAATTATTAAAGTGCTAAAGCTTATGGGCACAAAATGGTTTAAAAAAAAAAATGTTCGCAAACTATTACTAGAAAATAAAATAAAATAAAAATGGTAACGGACCCCGCTGTTTTCCGCTATACGGGATGTTTCTGTCATCGAGTTTCGCATCATCGGGCGATTGCAGGCCACAGCAGAAGTCCGCATCTGCAACAGCAAGGCTCTTGTAAGGTTAGGACTTGCGCGCCACTTGAATTAGTAGAAGAGGCGCATGACCTGCTTTAGTAAATTTTGAGAATGGAATTTTGATGGCACAAATGTCTGTTGTCTAAACACTTGCTGACAAAGCTTGTCTCACTGTGATTCTTCATCAAAATTCTCAAAATTTATTAATAACAGATTAGTAGCGTTTATGATTGTATTAGTTTTGATAAGAAAGTGTGAAAGTGTTTGAAAAAACTGAAGCTGATTGAAAACGCAAAAAGCATTTTGAGTGTGAGTATTGAAAAAGCTCATCCACTGATTTGGTGAAAAACTTAAGCAGATTTTCTGCAGTTATCTCGTTCAAGTTTAAGCCCAGCAAACAACCGCCGCGAGGCCCTAAAAAATCGTCTTTTCAAAAAAAAAAGAAACTGCTCTATGCATAATTATAATACAAAAAAATAAGTCCCTTGAGGACACTCGACAAACCGAGCGTATAACAAAAAGATTCGTGAAAAGCAAAAGATTTTCTTATTGTTGTTCTGTTGAACGTGACTACAAACAAAAATGTTTTACTTTTAAGGTGTGTTTCTGTGTGTTGTGACTATATATACAAACTGAGTGCTTTTGTGTGACACTATATTTGACATTTTAACAAAGATAAACGGATAGCTGAACAAAAATAAGGGTTAGTTATATCGCTGTGTTAATCTGAGTTAGAAAGTCACTTTGTTAAAGTGTATAGTGTTACACTTGACACCATATAAAGGCATTCAAATTCGGAAAAAAATTTAAACCCATCAAGCAAATAAAAGCTGGCACAATTCTAATAATTCGATGACTTACCTCTCACGGGCGGCAGCAGCCTTTTGTCGTACCGCGTCGCCCTCAATAGATTATCTAGGATTTCCTTGTCGGATTTCCCCTCTTCAAAGCTGGAAACGCAAAATCCTGGATTAGTTTTCGGGAAGCTATAATCTATATTCCTTGCACGAGGATTGGAGAATGCAAGTCAAAGTTTTTCCAAAGATTATCAAATCGCAAGTGCCCTGAGAGAATACACGTATATTCGATAAGGCGAAAAGTAATTTTGCAAGTCTTGTTAAATATTCATCGTGCTCGCTTTACGTTTTAAAAAGGGTGATTTAAATGCGCCAGACTTCTTTCTCCCTTTGGAAGTTCCGCAAATTGCCACCACAAATGTTAATTCGTTTGGTTAGAACAAATTTGTGTCTTCAAAGGGCAAATTACTTATTCTAAGTTAAATATATTATAAAGATGACTCAAATAAATGATTACCTTATTAGATAAGCTTCGAACTATTTTTTTTTTTTTTTTTTTAATTTCTCCAAGGCTTTTTCCCGATTAAATATAAAACCCCTGTGTAAGGGATATTAAATTTCACCTCATCTAATTACGAGGGTATTTGTTTAACTTACATGTCGGACAGGGCCAGTGTTTGCCTTGTCACAAGTAAAATTGCAGCCGCACGAAGGAGCATCCAAGGCTGACCCATATTAGGACATCTGAAATGAACAAATATTAATTTGAGTTGAACTTTTAATTTTAAAAAATGTAATCATTTATAATTTCAATGCAGCCTTAGAGGAAAAATATTTTTTAATTGCTCATTAACACAGACAATATCGATTCGCCTTGCCAAGTTTAGTAAATGCTTTTACCGCCTCGTAAATGTGCGCTTAGCCACTCGGAGGTGCATTTAACGACTCTTTTCGCACTATATAACGCAATTATTACGCTACTCCAAGGGACTAAAACCGATTATCTGCTCTGCTCTGCCACATGATTTACGTACAAACTATATTCTGCTTTAATTATTGGCAAAAGAGAGGTTGGCATGTTGGCAAACTCTATTTTTGCTAATTTGAGAGTTGTAACTTTCTCTTTCCCACTCTCTGGAGAAGCTTGAACAGCTGTTTCTCTCAGACTCACCCGGGATTTCAGTGTTGAGGAACTGGCCCTCTTATACTACTATTAAGTAATTTGGTGATTGAACTTTTGTCCCTTCTTTTCCTCAAGATGTCATATTTACCTGCGCTAATTTGATGTGACTCAGAAAGTTTATTGGTAAACTTCATTTATCTCAAATATTTGAAATTTACCAAATAACATCAGTAGTATAAGATGGCCAGTTCTGCATCACTAGTGTGTCGTTTGAACTTTATATATATATAAAGTTATAACTTTATTGACAACTATATAAAGTTATAACTTTATTGACAAACTTTCAAAAATTTTACAATAATAATTAATCAATAAATTAATGTCAAAACATCTACACCCCCTTCGAATTTCTTGGGCTATTTTTGGGATTGGACGAATAAATCTTCTGTTTCTGATATATATTCTTTTCTGTAGGGACGGACCCAACTTCTACAATAACACCTGTATTGTCTCATCGGTTTATTGTTGAATTCTGGACATAAACATTGCGTCCAATCACAAGCGGAACTAAATCTTCAGCCGTTTGGTTATATTTTTCTACTATTTTTGATCTCTCATTGGCAAGATGTGATGAATCATCTTTTTGCGAAATTTTGCCATTCTCTTGAAAAAGCTTTATGATGGGTTGGTATCAGTGTTTTCATAGGCCTTCCATATAGTTTTTTGGCAGGAGATTGACCGTTTGCATTAGGAATATTTATGATTTTCAATAGTCCTTTATAGTACTTCTCCTTGTTTAGTGATTCGTTTACCATGCATTTGATTATCAACGCTTTCATAGACTTTACAGCTGCCTCTGCATGTCCGTTGCTTTGTGGATAATGGGGTGTTGTAACATTTGAAATGTCACAAAAATATACTTATTGTTCTTAATTATTTTTGTCCAACGCCTGCTAGTTATAGAGTTATTATTTGTGCCAATTTAGAAAGGTAAACTATCAAATAACACACTAGTGTGTTATAAACCATAACTCACTAGTGTGTTATGGTTTATAACTCACTCTCTTATAACGTCAGCGCAAAACGTCAGGAAATAAAAATTTATAAATCCTGCTTTGAAGAAGACTCATTCCCAAAAAATACCTGTTTGTTTTTTCAGTTCTTGTTATGATGTCGTGTGTTATGATTTCTCAGTTGTTGTTGGATAAAACTTTATATGCTACTCGTGTATTATGTTTTCTAAGTCACTTGAGAAATTATACCACTCGGCTTGACGGCCTCGTGGTATACATTTTTCTCGCGTGATCTATTTTCAACACAACACGCTAGTACCATAAATAACTATTATATATTTTGGACTCATTTAAAAGTACTATTTCGTACACCTAGCGACATCTATGATTCTTCTGACTAGTTTTCCTAACCTAAAACCATTGAATCGAGAATTCTATTATTTCCGAGAAACCTGTAGCGCTGTCATTTTCATAAATTCGACAAGCTTGACAGATAAAGAAAGAAAAGAGAGAACCAATTTGGGTACTTTTGACTTGCTTTTTTCTCTTTTGTCTTGGGACCGAAAAGGTCGTCCAGATTTTTAATCTCAAAAATCTTAAAACTCTGTCTTTATTTTTGGCCATCGAGTCCATAGTTCTCTAAATTGACTAGCCAGAAGAGTGCTTGATCGTGTCTACTGGAAAGTTTCCTGGAAAATCAACCGTTTGTTGATTTTTGTGAAGATTTTGGAAAGTGAGGTTACTATCGGCAGTTCAGGTATGTAAATTCCTCTTTCTCTCTGATGAATGAGTCCTTATATTCCTTCAATTCATTCAGGCACTTTGGGCAGGACGAAAAATCCTCGACTGCACTTATCCAAGTGAAAATTGACAAATTTGAGACCATGCTGTCCTGCATCCCAAAGTAAATCTGTGCCCCCTTTTCAAGGAATGTTGGTATCCTGTAAGAAGTTGATCCCCAACAATTATTTAGTTGTCTCCAGCCAGTTTGGTACAGGGTGATCTATTATAAATGTAACCCCCTGCTAAATTTTTCATTTGACGTTTTTGACAGAAGTGTCAAATACAAAAGTTTGAAGAAATTGTCAAAAGTTTTTAACTAAGTCAGTTTTAGGGTGCGTTAAAAAAGTGCAGCAGCGTGAAGTTATATTTTTTTAAATGGAACACCCTGTATATTGTGCACCTATTTGTTAGTCCCCTTTAACCTGTTTTCAACGATATATGGTTTGATATGTCTATCTTCAACAGTTATAGGGTAAAACATGAAAACCCCTTTTAAGGTTTCATATGAAAAAAGGAAAATTATACCATTTAAGCTTTATAGAATTTTTTTTATTATCAGTTTATTGTTCAAATTTTATTCATTAATATACAAGGTGCAATATTATAATAAATCCAGATGTCTAAGCTATTATTATTATTTGAAAAAAAAATAACATGAGAGACCTAGGAAGGAATTTTCGCGTTTTTCCCTATAACTATTGGAGATAAACTGAGGGATAAACATATCAAACCATATATCGTTGAAATCAAGTTAAAGGGTACTAACAAATAGGCGCACAATATACAGGGTGTTCTATTTAAAAAAATATAACTTCACACTGCTACACTTTTTTGTCGCATCCTGTATGCCTAAAACTGACTTAGTTAAAAACTTTTGACAACTTCTTGAAACTTTTGTATTTGACACTTCTGTCAAAAACGTCAAATGAAAAAGTTAGCAGGGGGTTACATTTATAATAGATCACCCTGTACCTCCAGAGCTCAAATTTGTGAAAACACCCGAGGCTTTACAAGGATTCCCTCCAGACTTGTATAATTACTTACCTATGGGTGTCTTACACGTGCCATCTTAATTATCGTATCTTATTTTTACCTTTTCTTTATCGCCCCTATCGATTAGCTTTATTAGCTAATTATTATCTTTATAAATCTTAATTACCGTGACTTTTTTTTCCTTTTCTTTATCGCCCCCTATCGATTAGCTTTATTAGCTAATTAATATCTTTGTGAATTCAATTACCGACTCAATTGTTTATCGTATGGTAGTTTTCAGCTAAAATAGCTAACTACCGTTTAAAATTAATAATTAAGTTAATTAATTAATTATTATCAGAGTCAAATATTAACTTTTATTATCATTATTCATTAAGTATCTAATAATTACGCATTATTATAATTATTATAAATTTTATTCCTTTATATCGAGTACTGATCGATTAATATATTGTGGATTCATTAACCTTTAAAAGGTTAATTTAACTTTTAATTTCAAATCAATAAGGTGGTAGTTTTACAAGATAAACCAATGTAAAATCTTTAGGTAGTCAAAGTTAAGTTTGATGTTTACATATTTCGAATTTTAATTACCTACAGGTAAGGCGGTAGAGCTCTCCCCGATATCTTTGATTTCATATAGCCTGTCTTTGGGATTTATAACTCCCTAGGGATTATTTATTACCTTTCTGCATTTATTGATTTGATTGACTTTGTATCAAAAAATTAAGGGTTGATTGTACTTCGACTTCAACATTTATACTTAGGTAAATTTCATCTTAGGTATCTATTTAATTGTTTTTAAATTTCAATGTTTTTATATACCTATTTAAATTAAGTTTTGCTTTTGGAAAGCTACTTAATTTTTTTATGAAAATTGGATACTGAACAATATTCTCCTTTGAACAATTGAACAACAAGTTCGCCATCCTGTCAACAAATTGTTAATGAACAACAAGTTCGACATCTGTTAATAAATTATTGTTTTTAGAATTCCAAAACTTGTGTTTTTATTGAAGGGGTTAAATGTCAGATAGGTAGATATTGGATTTATTTTTCCTTTTCAGATTTTTGAAAATATCTTTTTGAATAACAGCTAATTATTCGAATAGTGTCTAGTTCGGCTATTCTTTTATAATCAAAATAATTTATACAAACTAGTGGCGCCCTCTCTCTACTGTTCCAACACCAAAGACCACCCTCAAGCTAAACAACCACTGAGCATAGTCGAGCACAATTATGAGCATTCTTTTGTTTCGACAAAAGAGCGTTACAGTGTAGATAGAGAAAATGCTACATTCCATTGAAATTCACGAGATGAATACTGTCCTCCATTATCTGACCTGAATCTAACGGGAACATCAGCAAACATTTTTTTACAAATCATTTCTAATCTGTCCACTGTTGGGATCTTTATTTTCATAATGGCACACGATTTGCCATTCAGATAAACGATCCATGTAAACCATAAAGTATGTTTTCCGGCATCATTTATTTATTTTTCTTCTGTTACAATAATTGTAATTTATTCAGTTTTTAAAATCATCACGATCATTATAATCTTTCCACCCCTAAGCTCCATATCTTAGTGAATATATTGGCATTTAATCAATTTCAACATAAACAAGACATCAGTATTATTCAAGAGTCAGCGATCTATCAAAAAGGTTTTTCCCTGTACAAAAGGAGATTCCTACACAATTTAATCCATTTTGTATGAAACTGTAAAGCTTTATGTTTTTTGTAAGAATAGGAAGATTAAAAACTAATTAAACAATTCAGATTTTAGGCAAATTTCCTTCGTCTTACGAACATCAGAGATTGGAAATCTG